GTACTTTCTGGTGAGTAGACACCCACTACCTTCACCTCCTTACTAGCTTCTGACCCCTCTTAGATTTTCTTTGTCTCTAGAAGTTGGGTCTTTCTGATCTTTTGGTGGCTTGATCACATTCACTTTTTCACTTTCTGTGAATTGAAGGAAAACATGATATATCTTTGTTTTGGGTCTCAAGTGCTTCATTTTTAAGATGATGATAGATTTTGTGATTTGGGGGTTTAAATATGTGGCATAGATGACTTTCTTTCATCTTTGTACCTCTACGGGAAGTACAGAGCGGTAAATGGCTTCCTGCTATCTGCAGTCACCTTGACCAGACTCTCTTCCCATCTTCCAGGTGGGTGCAGGTGCCATTGGCTGTGAGTTGCTCAAGAACTTTGCCATGATTGGACTAGGCTGTGGGGAGGGTGGGAATATTACAGTGACAGACATGGATACCATTGAAAAGTCCAATCTGAACCGACAGTTTCTCTTCGGCCCTGGGATGTCACAGTGAGTTGAATGGGGTTTATGAGTTTCTGTCATATCTCTCTCTCTCTCTCTCTCTCTCTCTCTCTCTCTCTCTCTTCTCATCCTAGTGGCTTAGAACACCTCTCTCTGTGTGTCTCATACCCTCATACCTGTGTCCAAATTTAATTGTCTGGTCAGTCTTCACCTCAGCAAACATTTATCAAGCACTTAGGTCATTTCATTGATAGGTTTTCATAATTTCTCCACTCCTGCGTTGTTGGTTTTGGGCCATTTTGAATACGGTACTGTAAATTGGGGTTATGGAAGGCCGTTGTGAAAGTCAGTAATTTTACTGCCTGCTCAGAGTCTTATAACTTTACAGTCCACATAGTAGGTTCTAGACATTGAAATAATGTTAAAAAGAAGTTCCTGCCCTTTTCTAATAGGAAAATTAATAGTAAAATACTCTTGGAATCCACAAGATTATAATAGTCATTTTAAGAACACTAAGACCATTATTTGACTTTTTTACTCTTATTTTATCAAAGAATGGAACTTTCTAATCTTCTACAGGAAATCTCCTTTAATTCAATGAAACACTTTTCCAAATGACCACTGTATCGTGAGACAGAATATGTACTAGTTGTAAATATCCATTCAAAATGGAAGTTGATTGAATATGGATTCCAGATTTACTTAAAACCAAACTTATAAACACTTTGACTTGTTAAGTTTGCTATATAGTTTTAAACTCCTGCAAGTTATGCTGATAGGCTGTCAAACTATTTTTCTGTGCTGCCTTTTCCTTCAAACAAAATACCAGGTTGAATGCATTAGAAATGAGAATCTAGCTGTCATTAAGAAGTACATAAAGATATTTGACCAAAAGGTAAATGGAGTTTAGCTCCTGTTACTGAAGTTTGCATTGGAAAAATTTTTATGATGATTCAGATTATGTGTAGGATTTATTAAGGATTTTAAAATGGTCTAATTTTTTTCTACTTTCTAGTTAAATATGTGATATGAAAATGTATAGAAAAAGTTTCTTGGTTTGATAACTTAAAAAAACAAATACAGTCACAGAGAATATCATTAACACGTGAAAAGGTAGGGTATGGACGTGGTAAGAAACAAAGGTGTCTTTGGAAGGTTTACAGTGTAAACAAAGGTATCTTTCATGAGAAAGATGACATTTTTGGGGCTGGCGCTGTGGTACAGTGTGTTAACACCCTGGCCTGAAGTGCCAGCATCCCATATGGTTGCCAGTTCAAGACCCGGCTCTGTTCCACTTCCGATCCAGCTCTCTGCTGTGGCCTGGGAAAGCAATAGAAGATGGCCCAAGTCCTTGGGCCCCTGCACCCACCATGGGAGGCCTGGAGGAAGCTCCTGGTTCCTGGCTTTGGATCAGCACAGCTCCAGTCCTTGCGGCCAATTGGGGAGTGAACCAGCGGATGGAAGACACTCTCTCCTCCTCTCTCTCTCTCTCTCTCTCCCTCTCTCTCCCTCTCCCCTCCTCTCCCTCCCCCTCCCTCTCCCTCTCCCTCTCCCTCTCCCTCTCCTTCTCATCTCTCTGTGTAACTCTGACTTTCAAATAAATAAAAAAATCTTTAAAAAAAGTGAAATTTTTTTCAGATACTCGAAGGATGTAGATTAGAATGTCTAGCATAATAGTGTGCCAACAGATAAAGGTAAAAACCTGAGCAAAACTGTACTTTATGGTGTGCAATGATAGAGACAGCTCATTTTTCTCTAAGGAAAAATGTATTACCAGTGGAGGGTTTTTTTTTTTAAAGATTTAGTTTTGTTTATTTGAAAGAGTTTGAGAGAAGAGGGTCCTTCATCCACTGGTTCACTCCACAAATGGCTGCAGTGGCCAGTGCTGAGCTGATCTGAACCCAGGGGCCAGGAGCTACTTCCGGGTCTGCAGGGGCCGAGAGACTTGAGTCATCCTTCTCCTGCTTTCCTGTGCCATGGCAGAGAGCTGTATAGGAAATGGAGCAGCCAGGACTTGAACCAGCACCCATTTGGGATGCTGGCACTGCAGGCCACAGTTTTAAAACACTTCACCACAGTGTTGCATCATCCAGTGTTGGGTTTTAAATAAGAAAAGGTCTTGGTTTTGGCTTTGGCTTTGAAAAGATCCTGTGTGTCTTTGTTTTTATTTAGGTGATGTCATCTCTATTCTGGGTCTCATTAAATGAAAAAAAAAAGTGGAATTAGTTGGTAAAATAATGTAAAACTAAGGAATTTTTTTCCTATTTGTGGCATATATTTTGGGCCCTCTTGGTCTCATTTCACATTTGTCACATGTGGCATTGTCACAGAACATCAGGTGATGTTCTTGAATTTGGAGTCAAGGCTTTTCTTCACTTACTCAGTTGTTAGGTTAGCTGTTTAAAAGGTTGTGTGTGAATGTATGAAACAGCTTTCTCCCTCCATTCCCATTCAGAAGTTAAAGTCTGATGTAGCTGCGGCATCTGTGCGTCAGATAAATCCATACGTCAGAGTAATAAGCCACCAGAATCGTGTAGGCCCTGACACTGAGTGTATCTACAACGACGACTTCTATGAAAACCTGGATGGTGTAGCCAATGCCCTGGACAATGTAGATGCCCGTGAGTTTCTAGGCACATGAGGATAGGGCACAGCCATCATTGTGCATATTAGGGTGGGGTGTACCTGTCCTAATACTCCTCTCCCAGTTCTCATGAAACATCCTCTTTACCTCCATGAAGGCCTGTACATGGACCGCCGCTGCGTGTACTACCGTAAACCATTGTTGGAGTCAGGGACACTGGGCACCAAGGGCAGTGTGCAAGTGGTTATTCCCTTCCTGACGGAATCTTACAGCTCTAGCCAGGACCCACCTGAGAAGTCCATCCCCATCTGCACACTGAAGAACTTCCCCAATGCCATTGAACACACTCTGCAGGTGACTAGCCTTGGGGACTTTGGGAGGTAAAAGAGACAGGTTCAGACATAGCCTCTGGATTTTGAAGCCCTTGACATTCCAGAACTGTAAGGCTCAGTGCAGCAAATCTTTCTGCTAATCAGTTTTCATGTGTACCAATAACTTCATTTTTAAAACTTTTTTTAACTTTAAAAAATCTTCTGTTAAAGACTACAGTTTCAGTAAACGTCTGAAAAGTGAGAATGTGTAAACACTAATGTGTTTCTGAGCAAAATTGACTTCATTGTTAACTTTGTTATTTCAAAGTTAACAAAGTTATTACAGAAAAATTTGTGTTAAAGTATATTTATATTTCTATAACTGCTGCTCAAAATGTTTCAACAGTTAGTTTATCAGAATAGTTTCTATTGACATAATGGCCATACATATAGAACAGGGCATATTTAGTTGAAGAAAATAAATACACCTGAGTAACTGATACACATAATCTAATGCTAATCTGCAACCCAAGAACCACACCATTGTGTGTTTAGAGTGTTTCTTACTGTAATATTTGAGACTTTGTTTAGGAGGAATTATTTGTGGAAAAAAAAAGTTGCCTTCCCAACTTAGCACTTTCAGCATGAGTGGATATACTTATTTATGTACTCATGACTGTCAGTTTTTGGCTCTCATGTGTATTTATATGTTTATATAACCTCTAGTAGGTCACGTTTTCTTTTGTGTCCAACATGCAGGGAAATCTATGAGAAAGGTTTTAAAACATTTTCATTATATGACCTCAGACTTCTGTGAAACTTCCACATGCCTCGGATTCCTTATCCATAAAACTTCCATGACAATTAGTATCTCATCCTTTCTATAACATTTAACATGCATTTGCTATTTGAATAAGCTTTAGATATATAGTATTTGGTTGTTTCTTTGTAGCAAGTCCATGGAGCATAGAAATTACTATCTAGAATGATGAAGTAGGCAGTAGGAAAGAGCTACAGTCTCCAGTGAATCTCCGGCGCTAGAGATCCAGATGACTTTGCAAGTGATTGTACTTACTGGTCTTATATAAATATTTCGTATTTAAAGTATAAAATGGCAGTACATATGCAGAAGTGCTTTGTTTTTTGCCAGTCCCAGGGTCTGTATGAGGATTGTTGTTGTTATATTTAGCTGTGAATTTTCCTTTTTTTTTTTTTTTTGAGGAAAAACACCCGTATTCTAGTAATGTACACAGACGTGACAAGTAACTTTTAATGCCTAAGCACCTGCATTACCACTATATAGATAAGCCATTGAAAAAGTAGCGGTGTGAAGTTGGTAAATTTGGGGAGCCACATTTAAGAAACTTCACTGTTGCGCACTCACAGAGCAAAAGTGCTTCTTTCAACTTGCTTGATTCATTGATTAATCTTTCGAATACATTTAGAAACCTCTGTGTTATTCATTGTCCCTGTGTAATGTTTGCTTTGTCTGCAGTGGGCCCGGGATGAATTTGAAGGCCTCTTCAAGCACCCTGCAGAAAATGTCAACCAGTATCTCACGTGTGTAACCTAAATGAACTGTGATGCTTGCCCCTGCCCAGCAGCCTAAAAATCTTGTGTCTGCTTCCCTCACATCTGTACCTTATTATGTTTGAGCCTCTTGACACCTTTTGGGAATCACGTCTGGCTTTGCATGGAGAGTGTGGGATTTTCAAGAAGCCTGCTTCTGGGTCTGTTGAATAATTTTGCTGTTTGCTTCTTCCCTATAGAGACCCAAAGTTTGTGGAACGGACTTTGCAGCTGGGAGGCACCCAACCAGTGGAGGTGCTGGAGGCCTTACAGCGTAGCCTGGTACTGCAGCGACCACATACATGGGCTGACTGTGTGACTTGGGCTTGCTACCACTGGCACACCCAGTATTCTAACAACATCCGGCAGCTACTCCACAACTTCCCTCCCAACCAGGTATTATTGCACTTTCCTGGACCTTTGGGCAGAGTACATTTCTGGGAAACAAGAGAATTCTCCTAGGTTTTTGATAATCCAGCAGTCACAGGCAACCCAAGGATTGGTATCTCAGAAAAACAAGCTGCAGTTCTGCAAACGTGTTCTGCCTCATTCCTTTTCCACCAGGAAAGGGGTTTTTCATTTCTGTTTCCCTGGCTGATGGTGTGGAGTATTGTTTCTGATCTCACATTGTAGATACTATCAGGGAAAGCTTTATAGTTCTAAAGTTTTATAGTTAACATAGTTTCAAGTTTAACAGCCATTGTTGGTTTGAAACCCAATGGACTTGACATTAGAGCAAGCCATTTATTTTCCTCTTTGTATTTCAGTAACTTTATCTGTAAAGAAGAAATAATAACTCATATAATGGGGGTTTTTTCAGGGTTAACATATAAATGTTAAGCTTTAGTTTGTATAGTGCCTGCCAGATTGACAAGTTTATGATTTTTTGTTATTCTGATAAAAAGTTTCCCAGAATAGTGTCTAGACTCACAGGAACAAAGTAAGGTGGTAGCATTGCCAGCTGGTCTTCTACACTCAGGTTCTACTCCTCCAAAATCTTTCCTCTCCTAGCTGACAAGCTCAGGAGCCCCATTCTGGTCTGGACCCAAACGCTGTCCACATCCACTTACATTTGATGTCAACAATGTAAGTCTCAACTTCCTGGGATCTCTTTGGGTCAAGGGGAAGTTGCATAGATAGGAAACAGGCAGATTTCCCCACTGAGAACTGACTTTGTGTGTTTGCCTTCTCATAGACCCTACATCTGGACTATGTGATGGCTGCTGCTAACCTGTTTGCCCAGATGTATGGGCTGATGGGCTCTCAAGACCGACCTGCTGTGGCCACACTCCTGCAGTCTCTACAGGTACCTGAATTCATCCCCAAGTCTGGTGTCAGGATTCATGTTTCTGACCAGGAGCTGCAGAGTGCCAGTGTCTCTCTTGGTGAGTTTTGGCCAGCTGGCCAGGAGTTGCACTCTACTTTCTCCACCCATGTCTCCTCACTAGCCTTACCACTTGGCCCTTCTCTGACTATAGGCATAGGGTTTACTAACATATCATCTTTTTGGGTGTTACTTTTATTCTGTGTGAAATAAGGATGACTGGTTGGAGGTCTCATTTCTTTTCTTCCTACCACAATAGATGTCAGAAATAGCTGTTCATCATCCCTTTTCTGGTTTTTGTTTGCCTTTGTTCTTTGCTTCTCTATATGATCTGAACCAGTGTTATCTTTTCTTGATACCTTACCTGCTTTATCTCTTCAATTTCTCTTGTATCCCCATGTAAATATTTACCCCAAACTTTTTGTTCTCTGTTTTCCTCCTTATCACGTTGTCCTCCATATGTCTTCTCACCTCATTCTCAAGTTCCCATCTCCATCTGTCTACAGTGTGGCTCATGCTGTGTGTCTTCCTCTCTGTAGTATCTTTTTTTTTTTTTAATTTTTGATAGGCAGAGTGGACAGTGAGAGAGAGAGAGAGACAGAGAGAAAGGTCTTCCTTTGCCGTTGGTTCACCCTCCAATGGCCGCTGCGGCCAGCACATCACGCTGATCCGAAGGCAGCAGCCAGGTGCTTCTCCTGGTCTCCCATGCGGGTGCAGGGCCCAAGCACTTGGGCCATCCTCCACTGCACTCCTGGGCCACAGCAGAGAGCTGGCCTGGAAGAGGGGCAACCGGGACAGAATCCGGCACCCCGACCAGGACTAGAACCTGGGGTGCCGGCGCCGCAGGCGGAGGATTAGCCTATTGAGCCACGGCGCCGGCCCCTCTCTGTAGTATCTTACCCTGAATGTGTTTCTTCCATTTTACATATCTCACGACTTAAGATCAGCTGCCCTATTTTCCTTTATAATTGCCACCTCTTTATGTTCCTCTGTGCACGTATTTATCTGTATCTCTCATGCATGTCTGCCTTCCATGTATTTGTTTTTGACTCGCCTTATGTACGTTACCTATCTCTATTAGTATTCTTCCACTGAATCTTGCCCTTCAAATTTCTTGATATTAATCCGACTTGATAGTTCCCTTCTTTGTTACTGTCTGGAAGTTTTCCTTCCTTCCCTTACTCATTTTCTTTTTTAACTCCAGTCTCGTGTTTCCCCCTGTATCTCCTCATCTGTGTGTGTTATTCTTCCTTAAGACCTCGATATCCATGGTTTATCTTTTCTGTCTTCTGTGAAGATCCTATCCACTCCCTCTTTTTTTAATATGGTCAAAGTCTGATGAGACTATTACCTGTTTATGATGAGTGTTCAGTGATGCTAAATGTGTTCTTGTTGTACAACCACTTTCTAAGACTTTTTAATGTTAACTAAAAATTCAAGTCCTGTTACAGTTTCTCCTCATTTTCCCCTTCCTCACTGTCTCAGGCAGCATACCTGTTTTCTGTTTCCACAAGTTATTATTCTAGGAATATAAAAAGTAGAATCATACTATTTTTCTTTTGTGTCTTATTTATTTTATGGCTGTGATGTCTTCAGTAATGCATGGACAGACAAAACACCTAGGAGGTTAATGTGTGTTAAAAGTATGTGTCAAAATTTCCTTCCTCTTTAAGACTGAGTCTGTTACATGGATTATTTCATTTTGTTGACAGAAATTTGGGTTGCTTCTGCCTCTTGGCTATGCTGGATAATTTTCCTATCATGCTTCCTACATCTTTGTACCTCTTTCTCTGGGGGAATATTCCCTCCTATTTTTCTTGTTTCACTATTTCCCAAAGTGTCCATCATATGCATGAACACTTTGTGTACCCTGGGCTACTGATTTTACCTCAGAAACAGGGTTAGGATCAGAGGGACTAAGCATGTCTCCTCTTTTCGTGCAGATGACAGCCATCTAGAGGAGCTCAAGGCCGTGCTTCCCAGTCCAGACAAACTCTGCGGATTCAAGATGTATCCCATCAATTTTGAGAAGGTTGTTGGTGGGGCCCTGATCTGGGTAGGGAAATAGGTTGACAGTGGCTCAGCTCTCAGGCTTTGTCAGCATTATGGATCTACAACAGGGCCCAGTCATCCTTTGTGGTGTGGAGGTTAGCAGGTAGTTGGAGTGGGAAATGTACTTCTCCCATGTAGCCAAGAATCCTTTTCATGCTTATTCTTTCCCCTCTCCCCCTCCTCCTCATTCACAACAGGATGATGATAGCAACTTTCATATGGATTTCATTGTTGCTGCATCCAACCTCAGAGCAGAGAACTATGATATCCCCTGCAGACCGTCATAAGGTAATGGCGGTCTGATCAATCTTCCACCCCTTGCAAGCTTACTTAAGTCTAGAATTTGAACTTAGCTTCTTGTGTAGATTTCAGCCTTCTCTAAAAATAACATCTATGGCACACTTGATTCACAGAGCAAGCTTATTGCAGGAAAGATCATCCCAGCCATTGCGACAACCACATCAGCTGTAGTTGGCCTTGTGTGTCTGGAGCTGTACAAGGTAGTGCAGGGACACCAACAGCTTGCGTCCTATAAGAACAGCTTCATGAACTTGGCTCTGCCATTCTTCAGCTTCTCTGAGCCCGTTGCCCCACCACATCACCAGGTGAGAAGGGTAATGGCCTGCCTGTATGGAGATGTCATGTTACCCCAACTATGTATATGAGTGAAAAATGTGTGTGTGAGTGTGTATGTGTGTGTGTGTATGTGTGTGCAGTCATCCGTATTCCTTATGGCACATGTAAGTTTCTGTTACTAGGTATCTGCTTTTTGTGTTCCCTGGTTTATTCATTCAGTGTACAAGGTAGGAGCACGACACACATTTTGAAAAAAAAAAAAACAACAGATTGCCAAGGTACTTGTAAGAAATTAAAAGGAGGAAAGTAAACGAGATGGAAAATGAGTGGAAGAGGTAACAAGGTCTCAGTCATATGTGACTATTTGGTCATTATAAGAATTACAGTTACTTAAATTGAGATGTGGCTATCAGACTACTTGGAATAAAGAACTTCAGTGGCTCTGACCTAACATGTCAAGTTGGCTGATAGTGGCCAGACCATCTGGAATAACAACTATCCTTCCCCCTGTTCTTTGTTTCCAAGTATTATAACCAAGAATGGACTTTGTGGGATCGCTTTGATGTACATGGATTACAGCCTAATGGTGAGGAGATGACCCTCAGGCAGTTCCTAGAATACTTCAAGGTAAGATGCTTTTCTTCTTCATTTCCCCTACCCACGGGGTTGGTAGTTGTATAAATTCAGAATCTTACAGATGGTCGTTCCCCTTCCTCCTTCTCATCCTCTGTAGACAGAGCACAAACTGGAAATAACCATGCTGTCCCAGGGTGTGTCCATGCTCTACTCATTCTTTATGCCTGCCTCCAAGCTGAAGGAACGGCTAGATCAGCCGTGAGTTGGTAGCTAGGGAGGGTGGAGGTGTCCTGCTCAGTGGGGTCTTAAATTTCCAGCTGTATCAAGCAATAGTTGACTCTCATCTTGTCTTTGCCTACGATATGTGCTTCTCTTCTGTTTCACCTCCTTAACCTTCTGTTTTTGTTTTGTTTTGTTTTGTTTTTGTCTCAGAATGACAGAAATTGTGAGCTGTGTGTCGAAGAGAAAACTGGGCCACCATGTGCGGGCTCTGGTGCTTGAACTGTGTTGCAACAGTGAGAGTGGCGAGGACGTTGAGGTCCCTTATGTACGCTACATCATTCCTTGAGCTTTGATCAAAGAACCTTTTTTTTCTTTGCTGCTTTCTACTGTTTGAAATTGGCATTCATAATAAAAAAGTGATCCAGATGTGATATGTCTTTGTTTTGGTAAGGGCCAATGCTTGTTCTCTCCATATTTCCATATGTTAAAGTAATAATCCAGAGTCCAGCTCCACCCTCACAACATGGAAATTTCTGAAAATTCAAAGATACAGGACAGACTAAGTACAACTGATTGAAGTGTGCGGTATGTTAACTTTATTTTGGCATATCTGCTAAAATAAATGGTGACACAGCAAAGCCATTAACAGGGTTAAATCTGAGGATCTAATCCCTCTTCCCTGTTGATTCTAAGGTAGAGATTTTACACCTGGTTTACCACATATAAATTATATTTAGAGGTTATCACACCTCAATCTTTGGTTGTAACCCATATTCCATATTTCTCATCCGTAACAAAGGGACAACAAGTTGTTAGGAATAAAGTACATTTGTATGTGTTACACATGGATTTACTATTGTAATATGATGTGCCTTTTAAGTCTTTGACACCTGTGCCTTTGCCATGCAGGTTTCATCCTACCCTCATTGTACTTGATGGGTCGACTCTTAGTGAAACCTGTGTAACCATGGTTTCCTTATGTAAGGAGGGTGTAAATCTGGTGAAATACGAAGAACCAGTACCCTACTTCCCTCAACACCGTTTTGTTTTCAGGATCTCCAGACTTCCTTCATTCAGGGCAGCATGGAGCTGTGTTAGGATGATCTGTAGCAGCAGGACTCATCACTGGCCTCACAAGAACCCTAATCTTTCCCTTTCGTCTTGACAATTCTACAAAATCCTCAAAGAACCAATAGTTTTGACTACTTTCACATTGTTCACCCACCCAGGTTATCCAAAGTTTCCATTTGTATTCCCAAACCTCAGACAGCTTCTAAAATGATGTCTCATTTCTAAACTATAACTGAATCAACAAACTTGGGGCGAGCTCGATGGCCTCAGCATAATGTGCTTGCCTGTAAATTATATTATTGGTCTTTCATTGACTTTGTAGTTCTAGATGTCCTTTTTTCCCCCTAAATGTCGTTTTCCTTACAGCACAGAGATACCGGGTAGGAGTGCTTTAAAAACTTGATTGAGGCAATGATCTAGCAAGGAGAAAGCTTTTCCTTGTCACAGGTGCTTTTTAAATTTTTTATTTATTTGAAAGAGTTACAGAGGTAGAGACAGAGGTAGAGAGAGGTCTTCCATCCGCTGGTTCACTCCCCAGATGGCCACAACAGCCGGAGCTGTACCAATCCAAAGCCAGGAGCCAGGAGCTCCTTCCAGGTCTCCCACGCAGGTAAAGGGCCCCAACGACTTGGGCCCTTGGGCTTTCCCAGGCCATAGCAGAGGGCTGGATTGGAAGGGGAGCAGCCCGATAGAACCAGTGCCCATGTGGGATGCCAGCGCTCCCGGCCAGGGCTTTAACCTTCTGTGCCACGCTGCTGGCCCCCCTCATAGGTGCTTTTGTATACTTAATGCTCTGCAGTACAGATGCTAGCCTCTGCCCACTGAACATACAGTGTCTGAGGCTTGCATTCAAGTGGCATAATTTCTTTGCTGTAGTTGCCAAGTCCAACAAACTCCCATAACCATGTTTGACATCATCATCTCTGAAATTGAATTTCACGTCAGGCCCAGACACGTGCAAATTTCATTTTCACTCTACTTGCCCTCAATGATTACTGCTGTCTGCTCTGAAATAATGTTCTGTTATCACTGCTAGATTTTCTGTACCACGGATTTATTTCTGTATTTTCTGCACATGAGCGTGCACTTATATCAGATTGACCCAAGAGAAACCTGTGATGGTATTTCATAGCCATCTTATAGACCATTAGTACACTGAGCTGGTATGATAGAGCTGGGGATGTACTGTTAGTCTGGATTCTCTAGAAAGTTGGATCCATACGTATATATGGAAATAAGTATGGAGAGATAGGTAGATAAGATCAAGCCCTGCAGCTGGCAGGGAACAAGCTAGAGAACCAGCACTGATGATATAATTAAAATGTATGAAAGGGCCTAGGAACAAGTGCTATGATGTACGATTGCCGTTCGACAAGAAATTCTCCCTTATTGAGTGATCAGTTTATGGCCAATCTGATGAATGGTGATACGTGGTAAGTGTGTTTATTCATTTGAGAGGCAGAGCTATAGACAGAGGGAGAGACAAGTGAAGTCTTGTTTCCACTGGTTCCCCAAGTGGTTGTGACGACCAGAGCTGAGCTTGATCCAAAAACCAGGAACCAGGAGCTTTTTCCAGGTTCCCCAGGCAGGCGCAGGGGCCTAAACTCTTGGGACATCCTCCACTACTTTTCTGTGCCAAATCAGGCAGCTGGATGGAAGAAGAACTGCTGGGATGTGAAGTGGTGCCCATATAGGATGCAGGTGTTGTAAGTGGAGATTTAACCTACTATCTGTCAAGGAGAGTACACTCATCTCCTCCAAAACTACATCATTGTCCAAAAAATGGTGGCACAAACAGCTAACCTTTTGCCAGCATTCCATATCAGAGTAGGATTTAATTCTGCTTCCTGTTGGTCTTGCCTATGCTTTAGACGCAACTTATAGGAGGCAGCTGCAAGAAGGTTCAAGTATTTGAATATAGCAGTTACTCTGAAGGGATTTCTATCTTGTGACTTAGGTTTGGCCCAGCCCAACTGTTGCAGATAGAAAACCTCTACAGCGTTTAGAGTAACCGCTATTATTGAGGGTGTTACAGGTGAATATGTGGCAGACAGAGATTATCTTAATTCTTTGTCATGTGAAAGAGTAATTCCCATGTGGACTGTGGCAGAGTCCTTTATGTTCTAATTAGACTTGTTTCTAACTGACTTTAAAATTGTGGTAGAGGCCTTCCCAAGATGAGAAGAAAAGAGGAGGAAATTTTTACATTACATTACATTAGGGTAGGGGGAAGTGTGATCTCCTGCCCACAAATTAGCTATTTATCTTGAGTTTTCCACATCGCATTCAGACGCCACCTTTTGCTGGAACCCTGGTTTGAGGATGGGTTCTTACTCTGCCCCTTCTCAGCTTGCAGAAGTCAAAGAAGTTCTCACCCTAACCCCTGACAGCAAGCCATCTCCACTTGCTCAGAGATTCTCTGTCCTCTACTCAAACTTTGCTTCTCTTTTCAACATTTTGTCTGGTCTCATATCTCACTGATACTAGAACACCAATTTGGACTCATCTTCCCAGTTTTCCCACAACATAGGGTTGCTTAGAGTGAGTTTTCCTAGAGGGTACTGTTAATTTTGTGTGTTCTGTAGGTAAAAGTTATGCCAAAATGTCAGACCAGCATTATTCTGGAAAATTGTACTTTGTAGCACACAATTCAAACATGAAAATATAAAACAAAGCCAACAAGAATGCAACATTAAGTTTGCAGCTTAAAAACCAAGAGTTAAAATGTAACCGCAAACATATAAGTCGGTGGTTGGTTGACTTTGCGCTGTGCCGATCCGGAGCCAGGAGCCGGGTACTTCCTCCCTGTCTCCCATGTGGGTGCAGGGACCCAAGCACTTGGGCCATCCTCCACTGCCCTCCCGGGCCACAGCAGAGAGCTGGACTGGCAGAGGAGCAACCGGGACAGGATCCGGCACCCCGACCAGGACTAGAACCCAGGCTGCTGGTGCCACAGGCGGAGGATTAGCCTAGTGAGCCACGGTGCAGGCAGGTAGAACATGTTTTTACTGAAGTCATGTGAACAATGACATTGCCACAAAACCAAAATAATTAAATTTTTATTTTATTTTTTTAGTTTTGGAAGAATTAAGTAGGGTGCAAAAGGCAAGCATTTCCATTTCTGTTTTCTTTCTTTCTTTTTTTTTTTTTTTTTTTTTTTTTAAATTTTTGACAGGCAGAGTGGACAGTGAGAGAGAGACAGAGAGAAGGTCTTCCTTTTGCCGTTGGTTCACCCTCCAATGGCCGCCGCTGCAGCTGGCGCACCGCGCTGATCTGATGGCAGGAGCCAGGAGCCAGGTGCTTTTCCTGGTCTCCCATGGGGTGCAGGGCCCAAGCACCTGGGCCATCCTCCACTGCACTCCCTGGCCATAGCAGAGAGCTGGCCTGGAAGAGGGGCAACCGGGACAGAATCCGGCGCCCCAACCGGGACTAGAACCCGGTGTGCCGGCGCCGCAAGGTGGAGGATTAGCCTTTTGAGCCCCGGCGCCGGTTTTTTTTTTTTTTTTTTTTTTTTTGACAGGCAGAGTGGACAGTGAGAGAGAGAGAGAGAGAAAGGTCTTCCTTTACCATTGGTTCACCCTCCAATGGCCACAGTGCACCACACTGATCCAAAGCCAGGAGCCAGGTGCTTCTCCTGGTCTCCCATGGGGTGCAGGGCCCAAGCACTTGGGCCATCCTCCACTGCACTCCCAGGCCACAGCAGAGAGCTGGCCTGGAAGAGGGGCAACCGGGACAGAATCCGGCGCCCAGACCGGGATTAGAACCCAGTGTGCCGGTGCTGCAAGGCGGAGGATTAGCCTAGTGAGCCGCGGCGCCGGCCTCCATTTCTGTTTTCAAAATTATACTTTGCAAAGCACTGAAAGCCATAACATTAGCATAAACGATCTTTGGAATATACACTCTGAAATATTCAGGTACAGAACCAACAGTATTTTAAGTAAATGACTTCATAGAAGCCCATAAATGTCACTAACTCATTCAGTCTCACGTAGCTATATTTTTGTCTTTTTTTTAGAAGACTTTTTTTCCAATGAATACAAATTTCATATGTACAGCTTTTAGGAATATAGTGTTTTTCCCCCAATTCCCACCCTTCCACCCCACTCCCATCCCACCTCCTACACCTTTTCCGGTTCCATTTTTCAGGTAAGTTTTTAATTGAGTTTAATATGCACAAGACCAACTCAATACTAAGTAGAGATTTCAACTGTTTACACCCACACAAATACATAAAGTGCAGTCTGAAGGTGTACTGTTAATTCTCATACTACACCTCATGAATGACAGAGGTCCAACATGCGGGTAACTGCACAGTGAATTCCTGTTGTTGATCTAAAAACGGACACTCTTATTTT